TTATTTTTTAGGTTCAGTGGCCTAATTGAATTATTGGGTACAGTTGGGTGGTCTATTTGACCATTTTTCCTATAAAATTTATCATGTTTACATATTTAGTTGTTAAATATTGCACATATAAGTGTTCAACAGTTCAAGTTTGCTTAATAAAATTAATGATAATTACAAAAATATCACCATTTTTCAAAAATCTGATCATAATCATCGAATTTTTACATATATAAGATTGAGATTTATTCTTAATTTTTTCCCGTGAGTGTTCTCATGAGATCCAATAGTAAAACAATAAATTAATAGATTTACTCTAAAAAAAATTAATAGATTAATTGTGGATCGAGCTCATCCTATTAACAACTTTCTCCAAGCTTGGTACATCATTATATGAAAACGCACCAAAAAAAAAAAAAGGAGTGAATACAGCAACGAACTTGGGCCAATTTAAAAAATAAAAATAAAATTGGGCCAAATAGAACTTGCCTTAATGTTCCTAATAGAGTAAAAACTAGGATGTAATCCTGACAACAGAACTACAGAAGCTTTCAAGAACTGGCTTTCATTTTCAATCTGTAGCAGCAAGAGCTGACTGCAATACATCTTCAAGGTACTTCTCAGCATCACCATACTGCCTTTTCTTCTCCTCAATTGCCAATGCAGCCAAGGCTTTATCCTACATCATAAGCTCCAGAATTCAATGGCGAACAAGCCAATTTAAAAGGTTCAGATAGAATTCAGTCGATCTTACCGGAGGCAGGTCTTGGTAGCTTCTCAAAGTATCAAGAATTGGTTTTGTTTTGTTCTCCAAATCCCTTCTGTGCTCGCCCATTTCGACCAGCACTCCATGACTTATCTCTGGGGTATAGCCAACACGGTTGAGCATTGCCTGCACATAAGAGTACCAAGCAAACGGAATACTTTTCTTTAAAAATAAGCCCCAACTGTGGATTTGATAGTGTAAATGATGTATACAGACAAAGCATTTGGCTAAAAATGCAGAGTTCATACAACTTTTTCCTTAACAAAAAATAGGATAAATCAAGCCAGAGATGGTTGGAAAAATTAGGCCTTTGATCTCTAAATGGAGTTACCTTGTAATTAGAATACTGTTGAAAATATTGCCTCTCTTTGGAATCCATAATTGTCAGATTCGTTTTCCAATTTTCCATTTGTGCTTCACAAGGAGCAATGTCATCTTCAAGCTGAGCAAGCGTTCTACCAAGTAAATAATTAAAAAGCAGTAATAGAAAAATCAGATACCGGTTAACCTTTCTGACATTCAAAAACATATATTTGCCTCAAGTATTGATCAAAAGCCCTCAATCTGACTGTTTCTAGATTTACCTTTTCAAGTAAGTCAATCTTGCTATTGCCTTCCGAGTGTAATCAAGCAGAACTTTGGATTCCTGTTGCACTTTAGCCCTCTTCTCTTCTACTGCTGTTTTCCTAAGAGAAAGATCTGCCATTGCTACAAGAAAGCTACAATTTTTTTTTCTTTTGTAAGACTATGAAACCCCAAACAAATAGAAAGGCAAAGAAGATGTAAAACAACAAAGCCAACCCACCTACTCAATTCAGTGTCTCTAATATTCAACAAATTTGCCATACTGGCAAGCACTTGTGCAGATGAAACCACATTCGGGGTCAAACTCTCTTGGGCCAATCCCACATCTTCTAATACCTCTCTTATCCTCGCAGCTACAATCATGACAGATTCAGTTCGCCACACCAGCCCGTGGAAAAGTTTAGTTTAGGCCGATGCACAATAGATCAAACTATATATAAGAAAAAATAGGGATAGGGCGGCATAAAATCATCCAAAAACATTGAGATGGTAGATCCTAGTACCTTGAGACCTATACTCGGCAGCTTTTTGACGGAAATCATTGGCTACAATCCCAGCGGCTTGATTTTTGGCTTGAGAAATGGTCGCAATATTGTGCAAATGCGCAACGCTTCGTGCAGTGTACTCGAAAGCAGGGACGTCCTTCCCAACAGCGTCGAATTGGGAAACTAGCCACGATTTTACCTCTGCAATTCGGCTCGCATCTAAAGCACTACTCCCCTTCGTTGTTTCCGTCGATACTGAAGGATCGCTTCCGCCCAACATTTCACTCATCTTGCTAAAATGCAGACAGATAAGTTACATGAAATTGCTTAGAAAAGATATCACAACGCCGGTCTTCCCCACAAAAACTTCAATTTTCTTTCTGTCCACGCAAATCTCACCTCTAACCATACAATTTTCTTAGAGAGATAAGGCCGGCTGTTCGATCGCCGGCGAAGCTGTGGAGGGTCAGGTGTCTACTTAAATTTTTGAACTAATTGTAATTTAATAGGTGCATATAAGATTAAATCCTTGCTGCAATATGATTTGACATTACAATTAAGAGCAAAAATGAAAGGGAACAAGAAAGAACAGAAAATATGTGCCGTTAGCTTCAGTTTTAGCTTCATAACATCTGTCCACATGATTTTAGATGTAATTATTCTCTCATCACCTTTTACTCTTTTAGTAAGTGGTCTGGATTTAAAGATCCGGCTTTTAAGTTCTCTCAATTCATCAAAGTTCAAATATTTGGCTCATTTATATGATATGTTGATACTTCTGTAGTAAAAAAAAAAAAAAAAAAAAACACGAAATACAAAACACACAAATCAAAATACACTCAATAGTCATGAAGAACTACGAAATTGTTTTCTAATGCCTAGCATCATATTTCCTAACAAATTAACAATCTAACAAGAAATTTATATTTCCGAGCAATTAAGCACAAACAAGTATAAAATCTCCAATAGACGGTCACAATAATTAGCTCCCAATTCAATGGTGGCAGAATAGCAAACACTAAATATGCTCCACTTTTCATAGAAGCTTGATTTTTAGCATATACTAATTCCATTTTCAAACAATAGAACAAGTGAACCTGAAAATCCTTCCTAGTCTAAAGGACTTAAATCCTAATCCCAACATGACTACAAAATGTTGGAAAATTTTCACAAACCCAGATTTATACAAGAATAGAAGCATAAAAACTGAATTAAACCCTAAAGATGACTAAAAAATGCATATAAACAGAAAAATATATAGCATAGTGTAAAGAAAAGAAAAAAAAAATACAAGAAAGCACTACTCTTATTGCTGAATTCTGGTACCAACTTCTCTTAATCCGCTTAAAATGTATCTATTTAACCAATTTAAGCTCTACTTAACAACATTTATTGATTAAACGCAAATTAAGTTCCCAATTTAACCAATACATTAATCTAACTTCTTCATTTAACATGAAATTGGAGGCTCTGCGTTCTGACCTGTCGGGCGTTGTGGAAGTGTGGAATGACAGGCGGCGGTCTTCGGCCGGCGGCAACAGCTCTCCGTGCCTCTGTCCTCCTCGAGAATAGGTTATGAGATTTTGCTTTTTAGTTTTTACAGTTAAGCATTCAAATTAATTTTGTGAATGAAAGAAAATTTAATTAATAAAAAAGGCACTACAATTAAAAATGGAAATTATTTTTTCCCGGAATTATATGTTTATTATGCTTTTTCTCCTTGACTTATTTATGTATTCATATTAACACCTCAATTATTTTAAAAGTGACAATTTTTCCCTCTTTTATGTTAAATAAACATTTTTACTTTTAAAAACAAGTATTTTATTATTTTTCTTGTTTAACAAATTATTTTATATATGTAGGGATGACCATGGTTCATGGGTCGTTATATCGTGCACCGCGGTGCATAATCGATTATGCACCGCACGTCAAACACTACAGTGTGTCTAAATCGACACTGGCTCACATATTATTTTTATATTATCAAATGAAACTACAGTTATATCAAAATGATACTGTAGTTGTGGTGAAATGAAACTACAGTATATATAAAATGAAACTGAATAACATTTCACATATTTGAGTATATATCGTACAATGAAGCTGTAATTATATTCAAATGATCATGTAGTTGTATTTTAATGAAATTATAGTGTATATAAAATAAAATTAAATAACATTTTCACATATTTGAGTGTATAAATATTGAATGAAACTGTAGTTATATCAAAATGAAATTGTAGTTGTGTTGAACTGAAACTGCAATGTATACAAAATGAAACTGAAGAACAGAGTTATTTTTTGCGAATATTCTGTTTCTTTTCATTAAATAAAACGACGTCGTTTTGACAATGTCGGTTTAGACACACTGTAGTATCTGGCGTGCACCGCGGTGCACAATATAATTTGTCATGGTTCATTTCAAATTTCAAATCGAATCAGATATTGTAGCAACTAAGCCAAAAGGTCCTAGTTACGATTCAGAACCGGAATCCAATGTTTGGGTTTTAGTGTATTAAAATCGCGAACCGAAATTGTTAGTTCCAGTTTCAAACTGGGAAAAAAATTAATTGTTGAATTTAGACTGTTAAAATAAAAAATAGAATTTTTAAAAAAGTTCAAAGCAATAGTTCAAACTGAAACAGGAACCATGAACCGACAGTTCATAATCAAAACTGAATCACAGTCATTTCTACTTATATGTGAGAATCAAAATAAATAGGGAGAAAAAAGCAAACACCATTCATAAGTATTATAATTATAATTGTGATTCAAGTCAATGCTAGTATCATTAATATTATAATTATTATAATTAATTAATATTAATAAATTATTTGTGTTTAAGTCTTAATTTTGTTACAAATATTAGCTTAAAATTATAATTATAATATTTACAAATGGTATATATTCTTTTTTCGTATTTATTCTGATTTTTGTATATAAGCAACAATTGTTGGATATATAAAAAAAATAATAATAATAAAATAAGGCTAATGTGATTACGTGAATAACTTATGAAGAAAAAACGCTATAAATATATAATCCTGGGAAAAAGGACATTTTCCCAATTGAAGATTTTGAATTAATAAGTCTCCCTTCCCCTTAAAACCAAGTTGGAAGAAAGAAACCAAAAATCTGACATCATTTGTGATTGACAAAACACAAAATTCACCAAACAAACCACCTTTTCTTTCAGCTGGTATTGTGAAAATTCAAACACAAAATACTGTTAATTATTCTCTAATCTGAACAAACTATTTCCCCGGCCTCGAGTCCAGTCTTTGGGTATTCTATGGATTTAAAAACCGTGTCATCTGATACTGTACATGAATTCCGGTACACATGTAAATCACACTCTGAGAGAACATAAAAAAGCGTAAACTTTAGCACTTTACCAGCAAGACACGAGCTGGTGGGCGACACTAAGAATAGGCAGCCTATGGCCGGCTAGTTAGATCCATGTTATAGCAGGTAGGGTTTCCTGGAAATGGAACATCGATATATTTTACTGGTTTACGGTTGAAATACCAGTCCCCAACGGACTCTGCGATTGTCTGGTTAAAGGGAAATTACGAAAGATAGTCAGCAGTGGTTCGTTGTGGTGAAGTGAAGAAACTTCATAGAATAGCTTACTTACTCGACTGTTGATTTTCGGAGAAGTGGATGAATGCCATGTATCGGTGATCCACGTTTGGCAATGTATAAAGCAAGAGTTTATAAACATGCCCCCTTCTGCGTTTTTCTGAAATTCACCTAGAGTGCTTAGCAATGAATTTCGGAAACCTGTTGCAACCACAAGGAAAATTTCGTGAGGGAAAGACTGAGAAAGCCTAATTTAATTTATTAGTTGTAAAAACCTAATGAGAGGCGGGGTCCTGGACTTGGCCCTTCACCGGCCTCTACCCAGCAACCTCCCTAGCCACATGGTGCTGGATTTGACCCTTACTGGCCCCCGCCCAACACATCACATTTGCATCCCAATGGAGTATTTGCTAGATGCCCTCCTCTTTCACCCCCACTTACAGAGAAATCCCCATACTATCTAGTATTTTGTTAAAAGATTTTCAATATGCTTTATCTTTTCCCATTTAAGTTAAATACTAGTTTCAGGTCGGGTGCAATGTTGCAGAAGGTGCTAGGCGCTAATCGGGTGCTCGGGGGAGCCTAGCGAGCGCCTAGGCAGCCGAGTAATCCGAATATATTATCCCCACTTTTCCCACTCAGGTTGGGAGTTGTTAGACTGTTATAATCCCCCAAACTAATTAACTACATATGTTAGATGGTTAGTTGAATACATGACCGGAGGAATATAGAACAGTAGTCAAGCAGGCAAAAAAAAACCACTCGGCTGAGTTGGGCACCGACTCAACCAAGTTAGGCACCCAACTCGCCGCCTAGGTGCCTAGTCAGCCGGCCGACAGCGGACTAAAAGCCGTCTAGGGCTGAAATAGTCTCAACCTAGGCGGGGCCTCCTAGGCCGATTTTTACAACACTGGTTGGGCATGGATGACATTTCCACCCACGACCTCCAAACCCACATATAATTTCAATATATCAAATATCTGAACCAAACACCAATCGGGTGCATTCTAACCCTGCTAACAAATTGGGTTGCAGGTCTCAAATTATACCCACCCTAGTTCCACCATATATAATGGTCACTATTCGCTAATGAAAATTGAAAAGCAGGATTCATCACCTTGCAGCACTTCAAGTTGGCTAGAATTACAGTAGTTAATATTTAGCGCGCACTTCCGCCAGCTGCCATGAGGATCCGATTTCTCAGGAACCAGTATATGCCGTATCTAAAAATTTAAATGAAAACTAAGAATAATTTATTGGGTTGTAAATGTAATAATGCATAAATTCAGAGACAAGGAAAAAGCTTGCCTGCCAAAAGTCGTATGATGGGTTGACAAGGAAAACTGGAGTCTTAATGTTGTTAATAAATTCTTGAGGGAAGAAACACTGAAATGACAGTTAGCACTATGATTACATATAATAAAAAACAAATTCAAAAAAGGGTCACGGAACTGAAAAATAGGAGAGAACCACACCAGAATATCGAAGAAGTGTGGGCTAAAAGTTGCACCTTATAAGGATCAGTTCGTGACACACAATCCTTGTTTAAACTTTTCGCTACACCCTGGAACCAAAACACGATCACAGAACAGTATAATATTAATAATGTGGACCATGGTATAACCTACTTCTTCAAAAAGCACATAAAGATGCGATTAAATGAAGACAGCTTCTGTAATGTTTTAGCAAAACCTGGAGGTTAACAACATCACGATAAAAATTCTCAATGGTTGGATTTCCTGCAACATCCTTCCTAAGAAAGATGGCACGTAAAGAATCATTAGCAAGAAACAAAGGGATTTATATGCTCAAACAAATCTAACAGTTAGAATTAAGAAATATTATGTTTGTCTTGGGGCAAAAAGCAAACATTCAGACCCTACGACACTGAGGCACATCCCGCGATTTACCTCCTCTCACAATCCCCAAGGCAGTGGGGTCCGGTTTAGGGTTTAAACCTATACATAAAGGTACAAGAACATACTCATTGAGAAAGAAACTTGCGTCAGCAAGGCATTTGACATCTGTATTCTTAGGCAAAATCTCCCGGAAGTTATCACAATGTATGAGGGCTGCCAGACCTCCAGCAGAACATCCTGTAAGAAAAGCCTGCAAATTTATGCAATGTATGAAATAAGAACACCACATTTCTTTATTCACTCAGAAATAGGGGAGATAAAAAAAAGTATGCGATTTTGTCAAAAAATGAAGAACAACGCAATTATGATATACAGTAACAGAAACTGAAATATAAAGTGTACTACTTTTTTAGCCTCGGAAAGTCCTATCGACAAGAATTCATCCATAAGTGCTTCCCAGATAAGTTGTCCTCTGAAGAAGAGCTTTGTCCCATTCTGCAATAAATGATAGTAAACATATGTACCTAAAGGTTGCTTTATCTTCCACTCTTATCTACATGAGGCATGATGGACATAGTCAACATAGTTCCCAGAAAGCTTCTTGTACTTACTTTAAGCTCACTCTCAGGATGCCCAGCAAAAGATGCACCATCACAATATCGTATCTTCACTTTGTTCCAGTTGAAGAAATCTGAAGAAGGGAGAGTGGATCAGATATCAAAGAATGAATCCTTAATAATGTAATTCAAAGTCCAAACATGCAATTGTTACAAGGAGCTCAGGCAGATGCATAGTTTCAGAAAAGAGCAAATACCAATTTTGGTCCCACGAGTATTAACAAAATGTCAATTTTGGTCCATATGTTTAATTCCTATCAATTTTCATTCACGACTATTGTTAAACTACCAATTTTCATCAACGACTATTGTTTTAGTGTCAAAATTCATCGCGCCGGTCACCCCTTCATTTAAGAAATGCTGAAATATGAATTTATGAAGGGTATTTTCGTCCTTTTCAAATTAAGATCTCAATTTGAGCATGAATAAAGGAATTTAAGCCCAAATATCGATCCCAATTTGCAGTTCTCCTCAAATTAGGGTAGGATGAGGAGGAGAATTGCGAATTAGGATCGATCTTAGGACTTAAAATCTCTTTATTCATGCTCAAATTGGGATCTTAAGTTGAAAAGGACGAAAATACCCTAAAAATTTTTAGATTTCGGCATGTCTTAAACGGATGTGTGACTGGCTTGATAAATTTTGGCACTAAAATAATAGTTGTGGATGAAAATTGGTACTAAAATAATAGTCGAGGATGAAAATTGGCAGGAATTAAACATGTGTACCAAAACTGTCATGGCTAGAAGCCTAGAACTAACAGATAAAAGGTATATTCTTTCTGAGCTTCTAAGAAGCCATAACCGTATGCTTATTGGAATTATCCCTCGTAAAAGCATCCCTTTATATGCTAAAACAACCAATCATAAATTCTAGGAAAGAGTAATGCCATAGCATTGACATAAGAGCATAATTTGTGGAGTAAGACCATGTATCAGGAAGTTCATATATGCTAGAAACCAGTCAAAAAGACAACTACCTGGATTTTGTGAAGGTTCGTGGCTCATAATCCCAGAAAACAAAACTTCATGTTCCATCATCATTGAAGAACCTAATGCTCTTGTTGCCCTTGAAGAACATGATTCTATTGAATCACACCAACCTCCACCCTGTGAGAGAAAAACCAATACAAAGTATTAAGAGAGGAAGAAACTAACAATTCAGAATCACCAAATTGAAAACTTCAGTAATTAGCAAAATAATGACATTAGATGACTGATTAAATGAAAAGAGCCAAATTTTATTTGATATGATTAGAGATATGATCTATAAAAAATGAAGTAAACCAATAGTTCTTCCCCATCTTTTTATTTAGCTTGAAAAAGACAGGGCCAAAATTCTTTCTTCACGAATCATTAAAAAAAAAAAAAAAAAAAAACCAACCTCAATGTGAAGAAGCCAATTATCAGACCCAGATCCAAAACCCTGCTGGAAATGATAACCCGGAACACTTCCATCCAAACAAACTGCAATTTCAATAAACAATAAGCTCACCCCCAATCCCCAAAAAACAAATATAACTAAATAAGAAGAAGAGAAGAGGGCATAAAGTAAGAATCCTTTTGGGAAGAAGAAATTACAGGCAGCTTTTTTGTGGGCATTGCTTAAAGGAGTAAAGGGTACCACATGATTAGCAGGAAGACTGACGTATCTGCCACTGTGAGAGTGAGAGACGAAGGATACCGTGAGGATGACGGTGGCGAGCGCAGCAGAGAAGACTGCCCACTCTCTTTTGGTCAATTTGCGCCACCACCTCACACCTCGGAGAAATCTATGATTCGCCATTGAAAGATTTTCCAGACGGAGAATGTAAACCCTTCGAAGGTTTTTTTCCACTAAGGTGGCATGCTACTTTCAGCATCAGTAGTTTTTTTTTTTTTTTTTTTTTTTTTTTTTTTTTTTTTTTTTTCTTGATGATTTTTGCAGAGGTAAAAACTTGGGTAGGATTTCCCAACAAATGGGGGTAAGATTATATATATATATATATATATATATATATATATATATATATATATATAATTTTTATTAAGGGGCTTTGGTTCACGGAATCTTGGATTACCCTGGTAATCTGCGAGGGAAGGTAATGCAATATTATTGTCACGTCACAAATATGGTAATGTTGGAGGTAATCTAATTACCGAATTTTTATTAGGTAATGTGAGATTACTTTTCAATATTCCAAAAGTATCCTTGTTTATTCTTCTTTTATTCACAAGATTCATCAGACTCATCAGACGAGAGACGCTCCATCAGACGAGAGACTCTCCACCAAGCTGCGAAACTCCATCCTATTGCATCGCTTCTCCATTTTTCTCTTCATTGAAGGTCTTCAAAGGTACGTTTTTTTTTTCTTGTAATCTAAAGCTTAATTTGTTATGCGTTTTTCATATATTTGTGCGTATGAACTATTTTTCTTCTATCAATTTATGTATTTGCAAATCCTAGATTTTTTGAAAATCAATTGTTGATCTACCCTAGGTATTCGAATAACTTTGCTTACTCGTGTAAAATTTGCTCATTTCTTCTTCGCTTAGTGCAATCTGATGTCCCTTCATAGTTTTTTTTTTTTTTTTTTTTTTTTTTAATTAAGAAAACATTATATGCATTTATTATTGCAAAAAGATACAAAATTCAGGACTAAATTATGGTCTACAACACACAAGAGTCATACGGCTTCCTCACCAAATGCCAACTAAATGCTACAACCATCTACCTAATCATGATTGTAGCAGCGTATATATGCTTGTAGCTTTATCAATTTGTATAAAATATATAGTTGTAGCAGTGTATATATGGTTGTAGCCTTTATCATGATTGCATCAATGTATATATAGTTGCAAAGCAGTGTGGAAAGAATGATTGCAGCAGTGTGTGTGTGTGTGTATATATATATAATTAGTTATTTGTCATTTTTTGTTGCAAAGCAGTGTGGAAAGAATGATTATAGCAGTGTATATAATTTGTTTCATATTCTCACTTTTTTTTTTTTTTTTTTTTTTTTTTGCAACTAATATAATTAGTTATGTTATTATTGAGTTAATTTATTTTAATGATACTGTTTTTATAGGGTGTTATGGCACGATTGTCGCTAAGACAGAAGAATATCCTCATTTTGCAACTACAAATGATGGACAACCTTTTTAATATTCTTCTATTCCTTGATTTGGCTTTACTAGTTAGGAGACGGACAAGAAGGTTTAAAAAGACCATTACATATCTTCATCAAAGAACATATATACAAAATATTAGGTCTTTAAATTTAAATAGAATGGTCTTTGACAGTGATGTCCAGTGTGTTGAAAATTGCAGAATAGATAGAAGAGCTTTAACAAAATGATGTTATTTGTTAAAGACTCATGGTAAGTTGAAAGATAATAGGAATATGACAGTACATGAGATGGTAATATCCTTTCTTCATATAATTGGGTACAACATTAAGAATATAGTACTCAAACGCCAAATAGCAAGGTCTGGTGAGACTGTTAGCAGGCAATTTCATGCTGTTTTGAACTCTGTTTTAAGGCTACTCGACATAATGTTAAGAAAGCCTGAGCCTATACCTGATAATTCAACGGATGATAGGTGGAAGTGGTTTAAGGTATGAATTTTAATTAAGTACTAAGTTTTTTTTTATCTACTTAAAAATAAATTAAACCAAGTATTAATTAAGTTATTGGGATTCAGGGTTGTTTGGGAGCATTAGATGGCACTTTTATAAAGGTCCATGTTGAAACCGTTGATAGACCTAGATACCAAACAAGGAAAGGTGAAATTGCTACCAATGTATAACCGTTGATAGACCTAGATACCGAACAAGGAAAGGTGAAATTGCTACCAATGTATTAGGTGTTTGCACACCAGACATATATTTTATCTATGTATTACCGGGTTGGGAAGGATCTGCTGCTGATGATAGAGTTTTGAGGGATGCGATTAGTAGGAAGAATGGCTTAAAGGTTCCTCAAGGTAATTAATCTCATCATAGGTTTTAAATTATGTTATTTGGATTTAAATATTAATGAATTCTTAAAATTGAATATATAGGGAATTACTATTTGTGTGATGCTGGATACACAAATGGTGATGGATTTTTGGCACCATATAGAGGTCAACGATATAACCTAAATGAATGGAGACAAGGATACCAACCTGCAACAGCTAAGGAATACTTCAATATGAAACACTCTCAAGCAAGAAATTGCATTGAGAGGTGTTTTGGCATACTAAAGGCTAGATGGAGTATTTTAAGAGATACATCATTTTACCCAATCAAAACTCAATGTAGGATTATATCTGCTTATTGCATTCTCCACAATTTCATTAGGTCTGAAATGTCAATTGACCCTATAGAGATTGAAGTACCTATTTTCAGAATGAATATGAGAACAACACTATGAAGATGAAGATCTTTGAAGAGAAAATGCAACTACCAGGATTTTCTACAGAAGAGGTCATGAATGTTGGTGAACATATTCTGAAAGATGCACACAAGCTTGATACGTTCTTTGCTTTGTCAAAGGAGCTTAGGAGCCACTATGTCGTGAAACAACTATCTGAGATCAATGCATAGCATCCAACCTTTGATTTTCATGGTGGAGATGGTGTGTAAACTGCTTGTTGTCCTTGTAGCTTTTTTTTTTTTTTTTTTTTTTTTTTTTTTTTTTTTTTTTTTTTGCGAATTAATATGGATATGGGGATGTTATTTTGTGTGCAGATCAAGGTTGCATTGGCGTTAGGCGCTAGTCGGGCGGCCAGGCAGCGCCTAGGCGGTCTAGGCGGCGCCTAGGCGGAATCTAGGTGGCGATAGACGGGCACCAAAAAAATTAAAAAAAATAGTGACAGACTTGTAGTTTGACAATTTTAATGAGCCTGTTTTCAACTTTCAATCAAATAACACGTCCAAATAAATGAAATAATGATAATTTATAAATCATAAAATCATAATAATATTAAAATCAATAATTGATGAAAGACGAAATCGAACGAAATCGGTCAAAATTGAACAAAATTAGTCAAAATAGGACAAAATCGGACAAAATCGGACGAAATCGGCCGACTTAGCCGAGTGGGCCGAGTTGGCCGAGTTGGCCGACTCGGCCGAGTAGGGCCGAGTTTGGCCGAGTAGGGCCGAGTTGGCCGCCTAGGCGGCCGGCCGAGTTTTGGCCGCCTTTAGGCCAAAACTCCAAGGCTTTGTGCCGCCTAGCGCCTAGGCGGCTAGGTGGCCGAGTTTTACAACCTTGGTGCAGATAATGGATATGCTATGTTAATGTAAATTTTAATTTGTTGGATGTCTGTAATTGGATAGTTTGTAGGGCTGTATATGGGGCTGTTATTTTGCTGGATGGATTGTGAAATGAAGTGGTCTGTAATCTGGATAGATTGTGAAATGAAGTAGTTTGTAATCTGGATAGATTGTGAAGTGAAGTAGTATGTAATCTGGATGGATTGTGAAATGAAGCATCTTTTTTTTTTATTATTATTATTATTATTATTATTATTATTATTATTATTATTATTATTATTATTGAATTGCATCTTTCCAGTAGCATTCCATCATCATCATTATTATTATTATTATTATTATTATTATTATTATTATTATTATTATTATTATTATTGAATTGCATATTTACAGTAGCATTCCATTAATTATTATTATTATTATTATTATTATTATTATTATTATTATTATTATTATTATTATTGAATTGCATATTTATAATTATTAATTGCATATTTACAGTAGCATTCCATTAATTATTATTATTATTATTATTATTATTATTATTATTATTATTATTGAATTGCATATTTATAATTATTAATTTATAATTATTAATAATAATATTTATTATTATTATAATAATATTTATTATTATTATTATTATTATTATTATTATTATAATAATAATAATAATAATAATAATAATAATAATAATAATAATAAGAAGAAGAAGAAGAAGAAGAAGAAGAAGAAGAAGAAGAAGAAGAAGAAGAAGAAGAAGAAGAAGAAGAAGAAGAAGAAGAAGAAGAAGAAGAAGCATCTTGTTAAATTTTGAATTATGAAAAAAAAAAAAGAAGAAGCATCTTGTTAAATTTTGAATTATGAAAAAAAAAAAAAAGACTTGCAATTTACACCTTTCAATTTTGATGAGGACGGTTTTCACACATCCATCAAGTATCAAATCACAGTATAGAGTTTAGATATCGTTCCACTGGAGATGACTCTTGTAATGTTAGGAATTGATGTAAAGTGGAGTTAAGCACAAGCTAAAACTATCCTTTTAGAAGCTAGACCTATTGATAAGGAGTTGGTTTGATATGATTAAGCTAATAACAAATAAGACAAGTAAAACAAAGGACATGGACTTGGTTGATTCAAGCAGATGCCAAATATTGTATTAAAGATTAGGGAATTAAACAAGGCATAGGGTAAGTGAGATGCACAAAAGTGTCCAAATACCACTCTCGTAGCTATTTGGACTTGCAACCTCACATTGAACTCCACTCTCATGACAATTCAATCCCAAGGATGCCCAAACAAGAACACAAGGCAAAGATTCCCTTTAACACCCAAAATACTCTCGTATTGGGTATTAAGTGTGTGAATGTGTGGCTAGTGTACAAGCTCTACTCTCATAGCAACAAACACACTCCAAATCAAGCATATAATTGGGATCCAACAATCATACACAAATTTCTCAACAAACCCATTTCACACAACAACCCTAGATCACCCAAATAATCCCCTTTATGCAATACAACTCAAATAGGCATCAATAGCAAGAAATCAAACCAAATCCTAGTCCCAAAATACTTAGCTACTCATAATATAACAATAGATACACAATATTAAAAGAGAAATTGAAAGCATAGATGAAAAGTAAAGAGAAGAGATGAATAAGAAAACTTCTCTATTGAAGTCTTGAAATCTAAGATTTACAATGTTCTTGAGTTTGGAAATGGAAAGGAAACACAAATATACACTAATCTAAGCTATTCTAAACCAACTCTAACTAGAGAAATGAAAGGGAAATGAAAGATAAAATTAAAGATATGTTTTGGGGTGGAAAAATCCTCTTAAAATGGATCAAAACGCGCTGCAAAAAGTTGCAGAGGGCTGGCCACAGGTGTGGCCACGGGCGTGGCTTCACCCGTGGCCAGAAATGCAGGGCACACTGCCCAGTGGCCACGGTGTGGCGTGGCCACACCCGTGGCCACAGGTAGTGTGCACTGCCTGTGCACTGCGTTCATCTTTTATGCAAGTTTTCACCCACAAAAATTTTGATTTAGCGTTTGTGATCTTCATCAAAGTTGTAACCCTTCAAGTTAGCTTTCCAATGACATAAAAATCACTTGATTTGGACAATCCTACGCAGAGATATGATCAAAAAACCGAGAAGTAGACGATTTGTGTGGGAATTTCAACTTCTTGCTCTTTTGCTCCACTTTTGCCTTTGTTTGTCCAAATGACCAAGACCAATAAACACGCCATAATTTGGCTCTCTAAAAGGTGTTTCCCCATCTTCATAGTTTCTCATTGGCTCCCATTGACTCTACATGCATCCGAAATGCTCCAAAAATCACTCAATTCATCTAAATCATCAAGAATTACTCATAAGCACACAAATGAATCAAATGAGGACACTTTGGGAAAAATTATAACGAGTAACAAGGAAAATAAGCTTAAATTCAATGTGAAATTATAAACTTTTAGACTCTTATCAACTCCCCTACACTTAAACCTTTGCTTGTCCTCAAGCAAAAACAAGAACTAAATCACCAATATAGCACCGAAGTTGATCATACTCCCACTTTGCACAACTTAACAAACCCCAATCCAACTCGACACAACACAACTTGTTTCAAGAATCATCTTTGTATTCCACACAAGTTCCATTCTCAAGCCAATAACCAAGCACCAAAATTATTATAGAATGTGAGGATCAAGTGTGCACAAATACTAAGTTGAGATTATGCAAAACTTGGCTTTGAATGAGATTCCATAGGCTTGCCCTTCATACTCCCACTAGTTCAACTCTAAGATTGCATGCTAAGATCAAGTAGGACTTTTATTAGACTTGTAATGGGGCTAAGGGTGAATGGTTTACAAAGAACGGGTAAGGAAATCGAACAAAAGAGAGAACTTCACACTTATTCACAATTGAGATTGGAAGAGATATGGCATCAAAGAACTAAGGAGCAACTAACATCTGAACACAAAGCAGCACTCTAAAGTTGTGGAGGTTGAGAACAAATTTCAAAGCAAACTATCCAACTTTCATTGAACTTTTTTTTTTTTTTTTTTTTTTCATTTCTTCATCTCTTTTCAACATTTTCATGACATTTTTTTTCTCATCATTTTTTTCTCTTTTTTTTTTCAAATCAACAAAGAAACTTTTTTAATAAATCTAGACCATCACACTTAGATAACATTATAGAGAGAGTTGCTAACAAAACAAGCTCCAAAAAGAAAAAGAATCACTTCCAACAAAAAGAACAAGTGCACTATTCTCTCAAGGGTGGAGGGAAACATTTTGGCTAAGGTTTAAGGGTTAAATGACAAGGGTTAACACAAGAAGAACAAACACAAAGGGGATTAGGTGCTTAGCACTTATTGAAAAAATAAAAAAGGCTCAACGGGGATAACTAGGGGTAAACATATGTGTACAAAGGTAGGCTTAAAGGCTTGGGCTAAACAAAAATGGCCTAAATCATTTCAAAACATGCAAATCTTAGATTTCACTTAGAGAGTAATGAGGCAAGTTCTAGCAAAACAACCATTACCGGAATCTCACATAAGCCTTCACTAGCAATGCACAACACACAAGATCAAGAATTTATTCAATTATTAGGTGGTTAACAAGGTCATTGGCAAGGGAATAGATCAATCATGTGTTACACCTTGACTCATCAATCACAAGTTGCATTGTAACAAGTTCCACCAAGCAAACCACAAACCAACAAAGGGGAGTAATCACAAATTCAAGTATATAAAGGCAATTTATTCAACACAAAGCACAATGAGTCATCCAAGCAAGGTTTCAAAAAGTTCATTTAAAAAAAAAAAAAAACACCAAGATTATCCCCTCCCCCACACTTAAAGGCTACATCGTCCTCGATGTGAAAGAAAATAAAGCACGAGGGGAGGAAATAGTGGCACAATAAGCACAAGGAGCACAATCTCTACTATCTACATTAAATAAAGCACTAAACACATTTTAAGAAAGTAGAGAAGGTAGATGAGACTCCCCTAATGAATCTTCTTGTGCCAAAGAATCATCATGAAGCCTTCTTGGAATTGAGCATACTCCTTAGTGTCACTCCTAGAGTCAAGGGAATGTACACATGAAAGCATAATAAATCAAAATTCAAAATATAAAGAAAAAATAAGATAAAATGCAATAAAGTGAAAGATAACATGGGGTGCCTGCCATGAAGCGCTAAGTTTAACGTCGCTAGCTCGACTCAACCTCTCAAGTGTTCAACCATCAATGGATTGGAGGAGAAAAATTCCCATCTTTCTATCAACCTTTGCTTCTAGGTATTTCTTCAAGTGGTGGCCATCAATAAATTCCCTTAAGCTCATCTTCACCACTTGAAAGTTTAAGACACTAAGCTCATACAAATCAAACTCCAAGAATATCTCTTCCTCAAATCCATTTTTGATCCATAAATCAAATGGGGTCTTCTTCCTAAAGATTGGGTCTTGATAATACTCAAGAGCTTGATCATTTCCTTGGTCTCCACTTCTTTTCTCTTCTTGACTTTCCTTTTCATTTGCAAATAAGGAGAGTCTTGGATCTTTCTCATGCACCAATAAGAAGTGGGAATCCTTTGATTCAAATATAGGCCAATGCGGGCCTCCACTTTCAAGAACATCAACTCCTCCCGGTTCCCACACTCTTCTAAAGTCTTCACTAATGAGAGTATCATCCATTGGAGAGCATTCATCAAATTCACCTTGTATGTTATCAACTACACTCTCATTTACTTCTTCTTCAAATGGGGTGCTTTGCAAAAATTCCTTGCTACCATCATCTTGAATCTCAATTTGAGTCTCAATCTTGTCTTCTTTCTCATTCAAATGGTTGGATTCAAGACACTCCTCAAGCACTTCATTTTCAAGATTTTCCCTTACATTCTCATCTCCATCAACCTCATCCCCTTCATTAGATAAGGGAAACTCTTGTTGAACCTCTTCATTGGACAATGAATCTTGAATCGGCTCTTGAGTTGCCCAACTTTGTCTTGAGCCATCATGTTTTCTGATTGAGTTTGTAACTCATCCATTCGTGAAGACGTTTACATTATCAAACTCATCAACTTGGACATCATCTCGGGCTTTTGATTTAGGGATTGATATCCTTGTTGAGGCTCTTGGTAAGAGGGCTCTTGAAATTGACACAAATGTTGGTAGTTAGGAGCCAATATATAGCAATTTTCGGCATCATGTGCTCCTCCACAAATGGTACACCATAAAGGTTGTGGCATAGTAAATGATGGTGTTCCTCCTTGAAAAGCTTCTTGATTCATGTAGGCAAGATTGAGATGTGGTTCTAGTTGTTCCATTCCTCCATATGTTTGACTCATATTCCAATTCATTTCATATCAATGAGGAGGAATTTGGAATGGTGGTAAGGATCCTTGAAACTCATATACATACATAATTGAGCAATTAGCACTTGAGCACATAAGGCAAATAAAAAGAAAATAAAAACATAGATGAAAAAATTGGTCTAGTCTCCTAGATTAGTCATTCACTAATGTTAACTACCACAAAACAATCAAAACCAAGCCATCCCTGGCAACGGCGCCAAATTTGATGAGGACGTTTTTCAAGCATCCATCAAGTATCAAATCACAATATAGAGTTTAGATATCGTTCCACTGGAGATGGCTCTTGTAATGTTAGGTATTGATGCAAAGTGAAGCTAAACACAAGCTAGAACTATTCTTTTAGAAGTTAGACCTATTGGTAAGGAGTTGGTTTGATATGATTAGACTAACAACAAATAAGACAAGCAAAACAAAGGACCGGGATTTGGTTGATTCAAGCTAAGATGCCAAATATTACACTAAGATTAGGGAATTAAACAAGGCATAGGGTAAGTGAGATGCACAAAAGTGTCCAAATACCACTCTCGTAGCTATTTGGACTTGCAACCTCATATTAAACTCCACTCTCGTGGTAATTCAACCCAAGAATGCCCAAACAAGAACACAAGGCAAAAATTCTCCATAACACCCGAAATACTCTCGTATTGGGCATTAAGTGTGTGAATGTGTGGCTAGTGTACAAGCTCTACTCTCGTAGCAACAAACACACTCCAAATCAAGCATATAATTGGGATCCAACAATCATACACAAATTTCTCAACAAGCCCATATCACACAACAACCTTAGATCACCCAAATAATCCCCTTTATGCAATACAACTCAAATAGGCATCAATAACAAGAAATCAAACAAAATCCTAGTCCCAAAACACTTAGCTACTCATAATATAACAATATATACACAATATTAAAAGAGAAATTGAAAGCATAGATGAAAAGTAAAGAGAAGAGATGAATAAGAAAACTTATCTATTGAAGTCTTGAAATCCAAGATTTGCAATGTTCATGAGCTTGGAAATGGAAAGGAAACACAAATATACACTAATCTAAGCTATTCTAAACTAACCCTAACTAGAGAAATGAAAGGGAAATGAAAGATATGTTTTGGGGTGGAAAAATCCTCTTAAAAGGGGTCAAAACGCGCTGCAAAAAGTTGCAGAGGGCTGGCCACGGGCGTGGCTTCACCCGTGGCCATAAATGCAGGGCACACTGCCCAGTGGCCACGGGTGTGGCCACGGCCGTGGCCACACCCGTGGCCACAGGCAGTGTGCACTGCCTGTGCACTGCATTCATCTTTTACGCAAGTTTTCACCCACAAAAACTTTGAATTAACGTTTGTGGTCTTCATCAAAGTTGTAACCCTTCAAGTTAGCTTTCGAATGACATAAAAATCACTTGATTTGGACAATCCTACGCAGAGATATGATCAAAAAACCGAGCAGTGGACGATTTGTGCGGGAATTTCAACTTCTTGCTCTTTTGCTCCACTTTTGCCTTTGTTTGTCCAAATGACCAAGACCAATAAACACGCCATAATTTGGCTCTCTAAAAGGTGTTTCCCCATCTTCATAGCTTCTCATTGTCTCCCATTGACTCTACATGCATCCGAAATGCTCCAAAAATCACTCAATTCATCTAAATCATCAAGAATTACTCATAAGCACACAAATGAATCAAATGAGGACACTTTGGGCAAAATTATAACAAGTAACAAGGAAAATAAGCTTAAATGCAAGGTGAAATTATAAACTTTTAGACTCTTATCAAATTTATATGAGGGAATTTAAGTAATTGATGTAATATACCCTAAAATATATCCTTCAACCAAACAAGTTAATGTTACATTACTGCAACTTTAACCAAACACATCAGCTAATCTTACATTCCTAAAATCTCACGTTACTTACTCCCAGGTAATCCTATTACCTGGGGTAATCAAAGATTCCGTGAATCAAACGCCCCCTTAGAGTTAATAACCAAAATGGTTATGCCGTACGTAATTACCAATTTAGTCCTCCTGATTAAGTCTTTAACTATGTAATTTTTACTCAATAACTTAAATATGTTACAGACTAGCTCAGAGTGAGTCCGGGGTCGCCAGAGAGTCATGCACGGTCCCAATAGCTTAAGATGAAAGCCATGAAGTACCGTTGCATCGTTTGGCATCGCTAAATGGAGAGAAGGTAGAAAGCTTGTAAAATTACAATTTTACTCTAATTCTGACAGACAACAAACAAATAAATTAACGGATGATTAAATTGAGTAAAAATTGCATAGTTAAGAATTTAATTAGATAAGAGAAATAATCGAGGACCAAATTAGTAATTATGACATAGTCGATGAACCATTTCAGTTATTAACTCTTTTTATTACTTTAAATTCAAATTTTGTGTGGTTTCATTAAAACTAATAAAAAGTTAACAAAAGGTGAGAGAACGTTTAAATTCTTGGCGGAATAAGTTCATTTCAAAAGTAGGAAAAGAGGTTCTCCTAAAAAGTATTGCCCAAGCTCTCTCAATTTTTACCATGTTTGTCTTTTTGTTGCCTATGAATGCATGTGACAGTGTGGAACGACTAATGAATCGCTTTTGGTGGGAAACTGTTAACACTGCTAGCAGAGGGATTTCGTGGTTAAGTTGGTCTCGTCTTTGTTCTCCAAAATGCAGTGGTGGTATGGGCTTCAGAAAATTACATGATCGACTTCAACTTAGCCCTACTAGCAAAGAAATGTTGGCGTTTAATGACTACTCCAGAATCAGTGGTCAACAAGGTTTTAAAGACAAAATACTTTCCTTCTTCTAATTTTTTAGATGCAGGATGGGTAACAACCCAAGTTATATTTGGAGATCAATACTGGCCGGGAAAGAAGTTCTGCAGGAGGGTTTGGCTAGACGGATTGGGAATGGGAAAGACACTGTAATCTGGGTTTCACCTTGGCTGGCGGACAAGGGTAATCCGACGCTAGCAACTCCCATGATAGAGGAGCGGAAGGATGCAAAGGTGGCGGGGTTGCTGGGATCTGGAGGTTATACACGATATTTTCGAACCATCAGATGTCCCAAGCTACACCTATCACTTGACTTCAATGATGAATGGTATTTGAGGGATGATTTTAATGGCAAATATTCTGTACACCATGTTTATCATATCTTAACGAAGCATCGATTTCCGGCTGATCCGTAACTCATCTTCGTAGAATGGAACAAGTTATGGAAATTACTTGTACCTCCTAAGGTAAAAAATTTTATATGGAGATGTATGAGGAATGTCCTCCTAGTTCGTGAGATTTTGATCACTAAGCATGTTTGGGCGGGAGGAGGATGCCCTTTCTGTGTTCATGATCATGAGATGATGATTGATCACCTTTTTTGTGATTGTAAGGTGACTTCTCAGCTATGGAATGGTGTCTCTTTATCGAATGCTACATGCCCAGAGATCCTAAATTCTGCACTTTGCTCTTTTCAAGTTATGGATATGTTGCGGTTGGTGGCGCGTCTTTGGATCATATGGAATACCCGTAACGATCTTGTTTGGAAGGGGATTGCGCCATCATTACCTTCAATGAAATACCAGATTGATACGGCTGTGGCTGTAACGTTTTCCTTTTCTATTATTATTATTATTATTATTATTATTATTATTATTATTATTATTAATTTTATTATATAATAACAATAATATTTAAGTGATGCAAATCAATAGGCTGACTAAGTATTAGAACTTAGTCAGCATTAGGTAATTAGTTACCTACATTGATGGGATGTAGGTTATTTAGACTCCCAAGTCCTCTCACTGCCCGGTTGACGTATCATACACCTATCTAGAGTCACTGAGAGAAGTGAGAGAAACACAACTAAAACCTACGGAGATTCTACAGCAGCCCGAGGAACTTCTGTTCATCAGACCACGAGTCCCTTGTAATCAAGATCTAAAGCTATGGCTGGAGATTGGTGATCTAAACTCTGTTTTAATAGCCACGTATTTATTAATTATCACGTGGATTATGTGCTTACATTTGGTATCAGTGCCAATTTATCTCTGCCTAGCCTTTGATTCAATTGCATAATACAGTCATTTACATATGCTATACTTTCTTTGTATAATTTAGAATACATATGTAATGTGCAATTATGTTGGGCTGCTGGAAATATTGTGTAATATTTTCCGCATTTAGAATTTAAAAAAAAAAAAATTACACTTGGTTATTTTTTTCCCGTCCGGGCTGCTATTGTTCTTACCGTGTTTGTTCGCCTGTAATGGACGTCTTCGCCGGATTGTGTTCGCCGGTGATGGACGGTGTCCTGGTGGCATCGGCTGACTGTCCGCAGAGGACGGCGGTGGTGGCGGAATTGGGTTGCTCCCGGTGGTGACGCCACAGGCTGCCTCCATCGGTGGTGGCCGGCGGCGGAGATAGGGGCACGGCGTGGCGGCGGTCCGGCGGTGGTGGTGGAGTCGGGTCCTCCCGGCTTCTCCGCTACTGCTTCTCCGTTTCCGCGTCCGGCTTCTCCACTTCTGTTCTCTGTTTTGTGTAAAGCAGTAGCAGATGAAGAAGATGATGGTTTAAGTGGTTTAATGGGCCGGGTCTGGCCCAAATCGGCCAGACCTAGGCTCCATTATAAAAAAAAAAAAAATTGGTTCTGGGCCTGTACTCATTTGGGCTTCTTGAAATTTTTATTATTATTCATCATATTTGGCTTCTTCTAATGGGTTTTATCCAATTGATTTTTTTTGGCCTAAAGTTGATATTAAATTATAATTCCTTTGAACAAATTATTATGTCTCAATTTGTTTGAATTTTAATTTAATATTGAATTTCAGTTTAAATTATATTCAGTATTACAATTTAATTGTGGAGCATGAGTTATAATATTCATAATCTGAGCATGTACTACTGTTTATTGCATTAATTATTTGATTGTTATAATTATGCATATGTTAGAAAAACATGTTCTTTAAGTATGAATCTAGTGCCTTTAGGTCTGAATTATATGCCTATTACGCATGTTATAGTGTCTTTTAGGTGAATTTAGTGCCTTTTAAGGATAGATTAAGCATGTTAGTTTACTCATTCGGTTATTGCTCCGCTCGTGTCTTTCTAAAGCTATAAAGCACATAAAGTAAATCGAAGTTCTAGTTTACCCAAATTTAAAGCCTTATCCACAGGTTTATAACCATATTATAGATCATTCAAACAATTTTACTTCAAATATGAGAATACAGGACTTAGGGAAGTTTCTTGGGGAGGTATACTAATTCTATGGCCCTGGCTTAAAAGCCTTGTTGCTACTAGTCCCCTTGCAACGCTACTTTGTCTAAGGAGTTGGTATTTAACCGAGCTTCGTCTCGACCAACTTTTCTGGGAGTATACCTAAAGATTGTCTATCATGTTTTGGTTTAATTTGTTTGCTAGGCTTTAAATTACCCTTTGCCAAGTGATTACAATTTTGTAATTAAAGAGTAGCCACAGCATCTTTAATTGCTTAAATTGTATTCAGATTAACTCACATAAAGAATTGGCAATATACTTGTAATTAATTCTATATGATATGTCAAAATTCAGCCCACAGGCAATTTTGTTGTATTTGTAGGATTGATTAGGATGAAATGCCAGACTATGATCATAATTTGGCCACAGGGATTATGTATCAGCATATAGTTTTGGTAGTTTTGTCATCAAGGGTGGAAACACCCAAACCCTACCCATTCTGGTTTTCACCATTCAGTTTGGTAAATTCATTGTGCGTAAAAATTCAGCCCACAGGCAATTTTTATAGCATTTGAATTTATCTTTTGCATAAGTTTGCATTGGCAAAATATGCACTTTAGTCCTTTTGTGCCTCGAAAATCAAAACTAACAAACTCATAATTTTCTTTCAGAAACTATCCCAATTGTCTCACACGTTCAAGTTCCAATGCTTACTCCTAATAATCATAGAGAGTGGAACGATGCGCTCCTGATCTACTTTGGCATGAATGAGATGGACTATGCTATTAACCATCCCGCGCCCCCGGCTATAACCACAACGAGCACTCAAGAAGCCAAAGACCTTTGGGCTAAATGGGAGCAGCACAATCGCCTGTGCATGTTTTTCATTAAGTCTCGGGTTTCGAGTGATATACGCCGCACGGTTGATAAGCTTAAAACAGCTCAAGAGTGTATTGAAGCCATTGCCAAGAAGTTTGAAACTTCAGACAAATCCCTAGCAAGCACCTTAATAATGCAGTTCACCTCCCTTCGTTATTCTCCTGTCGATGGTGTGCGCAGTCACATTATGCAACTTAGTGATATTGCAGCTCAACTTGACAAGTTTGAGATCAAGCTGCCAGACTCATTTGCGGTGCATTTTGCACTAAACACCCTCCCTCCTGAGTATAGCACCTTCAAAATTGCTTATAACACACACGACAAGAAATGGACTATTAATGATCTAATTAATAAGTGTGTGCAAGAAGAAGGGAGACTACGTCAGGAATTAAAGGGGGAGAGTGCCATGCTTGCAATAGCAAAGCATAAAGGGAGATCTGGCAAGCGCCACACTGCAGCTAAAGGGAAAGAAAAATTATCACCTCAGACTGACATTAAGAAAGCACAGAAATGCTTCTTCTGTAAGAAGAAGGGGAATATGAAGAAGGACTGTGTAAAGTTTAAAAAGTGGATGTCTGAAAAAGGTATGATCTCTTCCTTTGTCTGTTTTGAATCCAATATGTCAGACGTTAATGCTAACACTTGGTGGATTGATTCTGGTTCAACAATCCACATTGCAAATTCTTTACAGGATATGCAAAATCTGAGACAACCGATGTCAAATGAGCGAAACATCTTCTCTGGAAATAAGATGGGCTCGCCGGTTGAAGCTGTAGGGACTTGCAGGCTGGTTTTAGACAGTGGTTTTGTTTTGAATTTAGAGAGGACATTTTATGTACCAACTTTTTCACGAAATTTGGTTTCCATTTCAAGACTTGTACCGGTGGGATTCAGTTTTAATTTTTCAGACAAGTACTTTAAATTATTTAATAATTCTACTTGTATTGGAAATGGTACACTGTCGGATGGTCTTTATTGTCTTCACTTACAAAACGATGCAAGTTATGATTCCTTACATGTTCAAACTGGCACCAAACGGTGTAGTGTTAACGATAAATCTTCAATGTTATAGCATCGGAGATTGGGACACATCTCCCTTGAGCACATTAAAAGGTTGGTAAAGGATGGAGTACTTTCTACTCTAGACTATACTGACTTTGAGACTTGTATAGACTGCATTAAAGGCAAGCAGACTAACAAGTCGAAGAAAGGTGCCAATAGAAGTTCAACATTGTTAGAGATAATTCATACTGACATATGCTGTCCAGATATGGATATGCAGGGTCAGAAATATTTCATTACCTTTATAGATGACTTCTCTAGATTTACCTATGTGTATTTACTTCATCATAAGTATGAAGCATTGGATGCCTTTAAAACCTTTAAGGCTGAAGTTGAAAACCAATGCAAGAAGAAAATACAAATAGTTAGGTCAGACAGAGGTGGTGAATATTATGGTAGATACACAGAAAATGGACAAGCTTTGGGTTCGTTTGCTAATTTCCTTCAAGAGCATGGGATTGTTGCCCAATACACCATGCCGGGTTCCCCAGATCAAAATGGTGTTGCTGAAAGAAGGAATCAGACTCTTTTGGACATGGTGCGGAGTATGCTAAGCAACTCCACACTTCCAAAATCATTGTGGACCGACGCTCTCAAGACGGCAACGTATATATTAAACCGGGTTCCGACCAAGGCTGTCCCCAAGACACCTTTTGAGCTTTTCAAAGGTTGGAAACCGAGTTTGCTTCATATGCGTGTTTGGGGTTGTCCGTCTGAGGTGAGGATTTATAACCCACATGAAAAGAAACTTTACCCGAGGACTATAAGTGCTTTCTTTATTGGGTATGCACAGTCTTCTAAGGGTTATAGGTTTTATTGTCCAAAACATACGACTAGGATAGTGGAATCAAGAAATGCTAAGTTTCTTGAAGATGACTTGATCAGTGGGAGAGATCGATTTAAGGACTTAGTTCCTTTATTTGATCATGTTGACTCTTGCCCTTCAACGTCATCTAACGGAGTTGTACTTATACGCAATGCGCCTTCAGTCCCACCTGCGGTTGTGCAACTCATTGTTGAGATTCCACAAGCTGTTGAAACTCAACCATTGGAAGAACAAGTTCAGGACTTACAGCAACCTCCTGAACTAGACTTCGAGCCAATGGTTGAACCACTTCAGGATTTTCAGCAAGATCCTGAACCCGCACAGACCGAAATTGAACCAATTCAAGAACTACATCCAGTTCCTGAAGAGGAAGTTGCGCCACAACCTTCACAAGGTACTGGTGTTCCAACGTTAAGACGGTCTACTCGGGTAAGGCGTTCAGCAGTTCCTAGCTATTATGTATCGTATCTACAAGAATCTGACATTGGAGCTGAAAATGATCCCATAACGTTTTCACAAGCTACGAATTGTGCACAGTCCGATTTGTGGTTAGAAGCCATGAAAGATGAAATGAATTCCATGAAGAGTAATGGAGTTTGGAACCTTGTTGAGTTACCTAATGGGGCCAAGCCGATTGGCTGTAAATGGGTATTTAAAACCAAAAGAGACTCATTAGGTAACATTGAGAGGTACAAGGCCAGACTCGTTGCTAAGGGATTTACTCAAAAAGAAGGAATTAATTACAAAGAGACCTTTTCTCCTGTATCAAAGAAAGATTCTCTTCGAATCATTCTGGCTTTAGTTGCACACTTTAATCTTGAGTTGCAACAAATGGATGTGAAAACCGCATTCCTAAATGGTGATCTAGAAGAGGAAGTTTATATGAAACAACCTGAAGGTTTCTCTTCTAGAGGTGGTGAGGATTTGGTGTGTAGGCTTAGGAAGTCCATATACGGTTTAAAACAAGCCTCCCGTCAGTGGTATATTAAGTTTGACGGGGTTATTTCATCATTTGGTTTTGTTGAAAGTCCCTTAGATCCTTGTATATACCAGAAAGTTAGTGGGAGTAAAATCTGTTACCTTGTTTTATATGTGGATGATATCCTACTCGCCACTAATGAGGTGGGGATGCTTCGTGACGTGAAACAGTTCCTTTCCAAAAATTTTGATATGAAAGATATGGGTAAAGCATCTTAAGTCATTGGCATAAAGATTCATAGGGATAGGTCCCGGGGCATACTGGGTCTATCGCAAGAAACCTATATTAACAAAGTTTTGGAAAGATTTCGGATGAAAAACTGTTCACCGAATGTTGCTCCCATTGCAAAAGGGGATAAGTTTAGTTTGGACCAATGTCCTAAGAACGACTTGGAGAAGGAGCGTATGAAGGATGTTCCATATGCTGAAGCGGTTGGATGTCTTGGCTATATTCAAGTTTGTACAAGGCTCGACATTTCCTTTGCCGTTGGTATGTTAGGGCAGTACTTGCATAATCCAGGCTTGGACCACTGGGGAGCTGTGAAGAGAGTTCTGAGGTATCTCAAAGGTACTAAAGATTTCAAGTTGGGTTTTAGGCAGACGGACATCCTGGATGTTGTTGGTTATTCTGATGCGGACTTCGCTGGCTGTGTTGATTCTCGAAGATCAACTTCCGGGTACGTCTTCATATTGGCTGGTGGGGCAATTTCATGGAGAAGTGTTAAACAATCCTTAATAACTACTTCTACCATGGAAGCCGAGTTCGTGTCCTATTTTGAGGCTACTTCGCAAGGTGTGTGGCTCAAGAATTTTATCTCCGGGCTTAGAATTATGGATTCTATATCTAAGCCATTGAAAGTTTACTGTGACAACTTAGCTGCAGTCTTCCTAACTAAGAACGAAAAATGTGGGAGTCGAAGTAAACACATCGACATCAAGTTCTTAGCCATTATGGAGCGTGTCAAGAATAAAGTTGTATTCATTGAACACATTAATACTGAGTTGATGCTAGCAGATCCCTTGACTAAAGGCATGCCTCCGTCTAAGTTCAAGGATCTGATTCAGAAAATGGGACTTTCGTCCACTTTGTAATTTTGTATATACATTTAGTTTAATAATGAAATTCTTTTGCACTTAAGTTTTTCTTCAGCTACTTCGGATATTTTCTTTGAGTGTGTACACAATTCAGTTTATCTCAATAAGAAAATATACTTCAGTGGTCTTGAAATGAACATATGGTTTGTTTCATTAAGTTTGATTACCTAAAGGACTCAGGGACAGTTTGCATTTGATCATAATGGATATTACTTGCGTTAAGGAGGACATGTCATTATAGTTGGTGTAAATCTTGTTCTTGGGTTCCGTAATTGCACCAAGTGGGAGAATGTAACGTTTCCCCTTAATATTATTATTATTATTATTAAGATTATTATAACAATAATAATATTGAATAAGTGGTGCAAATCAATAGGCTGACTAAGTATTAGAACTTAGTCACCATTAGGTAATTAGTTACCTACATTGATGGGATGTAGGTTATTTAGACTCCCAAGTCCTCTCACTGCTCGATTGACGTATCATACACCTATCTAGAGTCACTGAGAGAAGTGAGAGAAACACAACTAAAACCTACAGTGATTTACAGCAGCCCGAGGAACTTCTGTTCATCAGACCACGAGTCCCTGGTAATCAAGATCTAAAGCTATGGCTGGAGGTTGGTGATCTAAACTCTGTTTTAATAGCCACGTATTTATTAATTATCACGTGGATTATGTGCTTACAGTGGCAACATGGATGCAGAGTTATGTGACTTCCCCAAGTAACGAGGTACTATCTGCTACTCAAAGTACTTATCTAAATCCCTTGATCTGGTGTCCTCCCCCTGCTTGTTTTGTTAAATGTAATGTCGACGCAGCTATTTTTGGCAATGAAGCTGGTTATGACGCAATAGTACGTGATGCTCAAGGGAAATTTGTGGCTGCTTGCTGTGGAAAGTTAAGCTGTGGTAATGATCCGTATATGGCTGAATCAATGGCGGTGAAAGAGGCACTCACATGGTTAAAGGCCCGGTTTTTTAATAATGTTATTTTAGAAACGGATTGTCTTAATTTCAATACTACTTTCAATTCTTGTAAACTGAATCTATTGTATGTTGGTTTGATTGTAAAGCAATGTCGAATCATTGCTACTGACATTGGGAACGTGCATGTTCGCCACGTTAGTAGGTCAGCGAATCACGTTGGCTCATGTGTTAGTACGGGCATCTGATTCTGTGTCTGTCTTGGGTCAGTGGTTTACTGAGCCACCGACCTGTATCTTATCTCTGGTTGATTATTAATGGAATTTCCATATTTTCCTTTCAAAAAAAATATAATAAAAATAAAAGTTTAACAATTACCACATGTGTGTGTCAGATGCACATGTATGGGGTATGCACTACACGTGCGGGCATGAATAAGCTTAGTTTTATATATTTTTTACTTTGTTTTGTCATAAATTTTTTTTGCCTTCATTTGTCCTCTTCTTTCTTCCATTTTCTTTCCTAATATGCTACTAGAAGTCTTCAATACTTTTAAATATTATTTTTTTTTTTAAAAGGACAAAAAATAGAAGTAAGAATAGGAAATTTGCCCACGAGGTTTAGCATGGTGGCTCGTCGTCTGACTTCATGTCATGACGGAAGGTGGTAGTGTGTAGGTTCAAATCCTAGGAGCGCATGAAGACTAAGGTCTAGCCAGTGGGATGATTGCATGACTCATTATTTACCTCTGCAGTGACTTTAGAGATGGGGCCTTTTGGACTTAGGATTAATTGACGAAGTTGAGATTGCCTAAGTATATAAAAAAAATACGAAATTTAACAAAATATATCTTATTTAATGCTCAATATTATTTACTCATTTCATCATTATTTCTTTTTATTTTTATAGTTAGTTATTCTTACAACATGATAATATAAAGATTTTTAAACTTATGCTGCTAAATTATACTCCGTACTTCTCAAAATAGATGCAGAGGGTTTAGAAAGCCATTACAAGAAACACAAGAAAGTTAGAGTTTTTATAGAAGATGTGAGCATTTGATTCAACTAAGAAGTTCCTTATATAAAAAGAACCCCGTAAGAAGACTACAAACTTTTACAACTCTTAAGGTATAACTACAAAGTTATATCAAAAGTGTAAGTGTACAAAGTTAGTACACATTAAAATCTATGTTGGCTAATTTATTTTATTTTATTTTAAATAGATTTAAGTTAAGCTTAGCTCTTTGAACCATTTCCTATCATAAGGTATTTAATTGATTGGGTCATATTGAGTGGTTATATGTGAAAGGGAAGTTAGCAGAACTTTATTTGATGGATGCTTATTATGAGGATTTATGAATCAAATGAGTGGCTATGGTTCTTCAAATCAAATGGCAAGCTATTAACGTGGATCAAGCTGTTGAAGAAAATGTTGCTATAAAATGAAAGCTTCCCATTATGGAAAGGGACGAATTGAGAATTGCCAATTTGAGAGAAAGGAAATTCTATACATTGCTTTATTCTTTATAGTGTTGTATTACAATATTTTATGTGGGATTTCTACTGAGCTACACTGTCTATACCTGGGTCAGCTGGAGCATCTCTTGGAGATCATCACGGCATGCACGTACCAGTCCTGAGTGGATGTTAGGAAGGGTTGTAGTGGTAGTAAAGGCTGATAGCCTAATGTACTGACCTCTTGTAAAACTCCTCGGTAAATATCTATAGTGGATTGGACAGACATGAGTTGCCCCGCAGACGTAGGAGAAGTGCTCTGAACTGCGTGATTAATTCTGGTGTACTTAATTTAATTTCTTGCCTTTTATTTCATTTTTTAATTCCGCTAAATGACTTATTAATCAATTGATACGGCAATATCAAATCTAAAATCAAGTAAAACATTAAGGTGTAATTTGAATTCAAGACTCACGGCACAATTTCAAAAAGTATTCAAAGTAGTTCAAATAAGAACGATAAGATAAGCTTAGTTACTTTTACTTTATACAAATTAGTACAATAAGATCAGATAAGCTCTTAATAAAAACTCTTTACACTACTACACAGAAGGCCTTTAACGTCGGCTAAAAAGCGACGTTGTATAGTAAACATACGACGTCGGTTAAATAAAAACCGACGTCGTATATTTTTTTATTTAATTAATACAACTTTCAACGTTGGTTATTATGAAATAACAATAACCGACGTTGTAAGTCAATTTTTTTAAAAAATTAAATACATATGACGTCGACTATTTACATTAACCGACGTCGTATGTATTTAACTTTTTTTTTTTTAATTACCATAACACGTCTGTTTTTTGTAATCAACCGACGTGTTAAGTAATTAAAAAAATAAAAATAAAAAATTAGTTTGTTTATAACTTTATACCCACTGCTGAAAAATATATATATATCACAACAACATTCAAAACCTGCTCAAATATCATACCACACCCACATACAATTTAATATTTATAATCTCACAATTAATACAATAATATCCTTGCATTGCATATCAAATGGAGCTACAACTGAGCTTGCATAGTAACTTCATTACAAAAGTGCCAGTTTGGGAAGGGACACGAGTCACATGACATCAATTAGAAATTTTTTAAAGAGAAGATAAAAAATGCACATGAAAAGAATACAAAAGTAATAGCATTTGAATATTTCAAAAAAAAAATACAAATATACTAAAATAAGAACATGAAAGGCACCTTATCTACTGCATTCATTGGTGATTTGAAGGCTTAATTGATGAAGATTACAAGATCAGCTCCACTGCAACCAAATGAAATTGCTTTGCTTACAGATAGTCCTCCTTTATGGTTACCTTGAAGAATGAGGCTTATATCAAACACTTGTCTACCAAGTATATATATATATATATATATATATATATATATATATATATATATATATATATATATATATATATCAATGGGCCGGGGTAAAAGGGAAAAAGACATCCAATCCTAGGCCAAATGCTGATTGCTCTAAGCCAATAAATCAACATTGATGGAAAATTTTGGTGTTCTCTGCTTGCTAGATTAATATGGCTAGACAGACATTTATTCTGTTCGAGGAGAACCCTTGTCAATTTAGCAGTGCTGGTTGCAAGTGAGAGCTAGTTTTTAATGCCTTCTAGTTGAAAGAAGCAGTATCTATTAGGGATAAGAGAATTAAATAAAGAGAAAAAGAAATCATACCTACATAGAAACATCCAGGGATGTTCTTATCCATGCTTTCAACCGCATCCAAGACTGAATCATAGTCATGACCATATAAAGGAAATGCTTTACTCCAGTAGACATGACTGCAATAACGAAGCAGATAATCACTACAAAATATTCATCGTATTTCATTCATTACCGCATGTCAATAAGAGCAAAGCCTGGAGGCTTAAGAAACAAGAATTTCCTAAGGCTTAAATAATTTACATACTTCACAAACTGTGGCTCTCCCTGGCCTCTACACCCAGCAACTGCTTAAGGTCAGACGTCACAATTTGCTTCATCTCATCCCTACAAAATCATTTATATGTGAAAACCTGCTCACTTGAAAAGAATAACATACTCATTTGGACAAATGGAGTTGGTCAAATGCATAGAAATTTGAAGCATACAAAATCTTGAAGCTTTTGCAAGTTCTCTATTTCGACTTCCCTCGACAAAAGTAGTGTAAAGATAGACAAATTTCACTTTTCTCTGTTTCTCAGTTCTTAGCTGATATCTTAGATTGAATTGCCCCAAATATAACTGAGTCAAACCTAATGAGCAGGGAATTCAGATAACCATAAGATGGATACTTATGGAAATGCATGGCACATCTATTTGATGGTGGAAAATAAATAGTGAATATTGATAAACAATAAAATGTGTCATACCTGCAAGAATAATGTGCTTTTGCCAACACCAGGATCTCCACCTACTAAAACTAAGAAACCTACAGAATGGAAAGATCCAGATTCAGTCAAACTAAGTCAAGTTCTAATATGACATTGCACTTCATCTTCACAATAACCCAGACTTGAGAGTTCTATCAAGTATCAAGTTTAAACATTGTTGCTTTCTTTTATCATATCCTGAACTGTCCAAATGCATAAGACACAAGTAAAAGACTTTCATCATCTAGATAACAATTCTCACAATTTTTATTTAAAAGAATAATTTATTTAATTATTTATCAACTTAAAATGTTAAAATGCTAATCCAATGTCTAGAGATTTTTCAATATTGAAATACAAAGGTACTAAATACTAATGGAGGAACAACACTATGTATTAGAGGTATTGATACAGTGGAGAAGGGGAAGAAGCCTCCGTTCTGGCCATTGAAAAATTCCGGCGGCACTAGTGTCTTGGCATCGTCTCTCTTGCGCCTTATGCGGCGGCGATTTTGAAATAATAAAGAAAACAGCCGGCCAGGACAAATGTTTTATATATTTTTTTTGAAATAATTAAAACACAATGCAAGGTACGTACACACCATTGAGATTTCTCATTGCCCTCAGTTCTGCCGCCGTCTTTTACCCTTGGAAGGAGAAGAAGAGAGCTAGCTATGGAAAGGACCTTTTTACCCTTGAAGAAGAAGAGACCTAGCTATGGAAAGGACCATTTTACCCCTTAACTTAACGCCTATTTAAATCTTATTTAACGGAAGGACCAATGGTGGAAAAATTCTGATAGTCAAGGGGTTATTTTGTCCAAATTAAAAGACAAGGACCAAATTTGAAAAATTGCAATAGTCAGAGGACTATTGCTGGAATTAACTCACTAAAAAATTAAAAGATGATTCTCCTAAACAGATGTTCAGGTTGAAGCTGATTGATTCATTATAGCCAACAAAGGAGTTGGGATGAGAAAGAGTTGATTGGTAATATATATTTTTGAGTTAATACCCAAAATGGTACTCGACTATAGTAGTTTTTTTTTTTTTCAATTTTGTCCTAAACGACTTTGGTGACCTAATATAGTCACAGACTTTTGTTTTTTGCTCAATTTAGTCATCCGTTTGTTATTCCGTCCATTTGATGTTAAATAGAGGGATAATTCAATAATTTCAATATTGGCGTCTCTTTACTCCTAGACATGCGATGTGCGAAATCCAATCCCCCTTTCTTTTACGAATTACTCCCAAACCTGTGAATATATAATTTGATTCACGGGTCTGGGAGTAATTCGTAAAAGAAATAAGGATTTCGCACTTCACAGGGCTGAGACTAAAGAGAGATCAATATTGAGATTATTGAATTGTCCCTTTATTTAACACCAATTTGACGGAATAACAATCGGAGCTGAGGACTAAATTGAGCAAAAACACAAAATTTTGGGACTAGATTAGTTCACCAAAGTCATGATTTAGGACGAAATTGAGAAAACTCACTATAGTTGAGGACTATTTTGGATATTAACTCATATATTTTTAAATAGTATTTTTTTTATGCGCGATGCGTAAAAAATATGTGCTCAATATTAGTATTTTATATTAAGATTTTTGATATTTAAATTAATAATAATAATAATAATAATAATAATAATAATAATAATAATAATAATAATAATAATAATAATAATAATATAAACCATTTTTATACATTTGATATTTATATGGTAGGAAATAACTAACATATAACTCCAATATATAATGTGTATATATATTATTATTATTATTGAAGAAGATAATAAAATATATGGTGGATGCATGTCCATCGTAACAATGGTGGAAAAGATAACGGAAGTTATAATGGTAGGGGTATGTTTGTCCAAAATATTATAAAGTACAACTCTTATTGCATAATGTATAAATGATAACATTATTTTTATTGTTATTTTAAATAATCTTTTTGTAGTTTTTTTTTTTTTTTAAAGGAGCCGTCATGGCATTTATTCAAAATAATGTGAAATAGAGAGTGGCGGGACAGAGTCCCAATACATAGTAGCGGGCTGAATAGAAGTAGACGAAGCTAAAATATGATGAGCTAAATAGTTTTCCGATCTAGAGTATATGCCTACTCAGTTTAATCATATGTATGGTGAGGAAAAGGGTAAATCATTCTATGACAAAGTAGTTGCTGGTCTTGCTGAGTTATTTGATGATTATTCTACATCTGCCTCTTCTTCTGTCCCTTCTGTGCCTGTCCCTTCTGTGATTGTGTCTGTACAGCCTACATCTGCCTCTGTTTCTGTTGGGAAGCCACAACATTTTCTGAAGTCCCAAATTAAAAAGCAAAGATTGGAGTCTAGGGGTAAGAAACAAACTGAGTTGGATATGTACTTGAGTGAGGGAATAGTTGAAGAGGAAGAATTGATGTGTAGCAAAAATAAGATGTGAGCTCGGGTGTGTAATGTCATCCTCAGGGGATTGGGGGTTATGACACGCAATATGCAATCACAAGAAACTAGGCACTAACACTAGGCAATCAACAAGAAGCTAAGCAAACTACAAGTTTAAGGAAATGATAAGACTAACACATACACAAAGATAAACACAAAATAAAGGAATAGGACTCAAGCTAGGGAGCATTATCATCTAGATGCTATAACAACCTAAGGGATTAGGGAGAACAAGTAACCAAGGAATCAAGCGGGAATGCACGTAGGTATCCTAGTCTACGAACCATTCTCGTGATTAATAAACAAGGATTAGGACAAGGAATTGCCCCACTTTCGTGGTGAATCAATTCCAAGTCCATCAAGCACACAAAGCATCTAAAGCCCCCAATTTCCCCTATTTTCGTAGGAAGAAATCGGGTCTATGCAAGGGATGGCTTGGATTCGTCACCAACTCTCGTTGAGGCAAGGAATCCTCCAAAAACAAGCTAATGAATGTGTACATCAAACATTAACAAGATATAAATACAAAACCTTCACAAACACATGAACCCTAGGTTGGAGTTCTTCCCCTTTTTTGCAATAATCACAAATCAAGCATCAAGATAGATAATACAACCCTAACTCAAGTCCATAGACTAACTACTCATGATTAAATAGCATAAAGATCACAAGAACACAAGCATGAAACATAAATCTTGCAAAATAAAGAGATAAAAGGAAAGAAAGCTTCTCTATTGAAAATGGATGGTGGAATCTTGAAATGTTGGAATCCAAGCTTCAAATCCAAGATTACAAGCTTCAAAAGTGTTAAGAAACATAAATCTAAGCCTAATCTAACCTAAAAATATGAAGGAGAATGAAAGAGAGTGTCTAGGGTTCTAACAAGAGTCAAAACCCAGTAAAAATGACAAAAAACAGAGTTTATAAAAAAATGCAAAGCACAGTGACACGGCCAGGGACATGGCCATGTCCCTGGCCGTGTCCAAAAAAGCAGTGCACACTGGAATTGCACAGAAAATACACGGCTACAGACACGACCGTGCACTTGGCCGTGTCTTTTGGCCTTCAAAACATCAGAATTTGGAACTATGGTCTTCATGAAAGTTGTATCCCTTCGAGTCTTCTTTCGAATGGCGCAAGAATCACTTCATTTGGACATTCCTAAGCCGAGATATGGTCCAAAAACCAAACAGTGGTCAGTTTTGAATTGTAAGTTTAGAACTTCAACTTCAAGGACAATTTTGAACCCTGTGGCTTCCTTTTTAGGCTTTGATGTCTGAATATGAGTTGTAGCTCTTTGAGTATTCTTTCCAATGCAATTTATATCCTACACCACGGCGCGCGTTGCACTATGCGCCCAGATGCAAAACGACGTCGTTTTAATTTTTTTTTTTTTTTTTTGAAATTTCCCGCCCCAATGAATGGCAGTAGTTTTTTCTTTAAAAAAAAACCGCTGTTCAAGAATGTACATAATGTTATACTAGAATACACATAATTGTATACATGAATGTACATAATTATATAACAAAATATACATACTCTTTTTAAAAGATAATACACATAATCTAACATAATACATAATAAACATAAACTTTTAACATAATACACATCAACTATTAACATAATACACACAAATTTTCTGATTCGGATGTACATAATTGTATAAAAAGAATGTACATAATTGTATAAAAAATGTACATAACTGTATGAACCAATACACATAACTGTATGAACAAATACACATAACTGTGTGAACAAATACACATAATCCCAGCAACTTCCTACCGCGCCTCCCAAAACGACGTCGTTTTGGGGGAGGGGGGGGGGGGGGGCGCGGCGCACAGTGCTATGTGCGCCGTGATGTAGGGTATAACGATTGTCTTTCCAATGGAACAAGAATCACTTAATTTGGATACTTCTAGACCGAGATATGGCCCAAAAACAGAACAGTGGACAATCCATGCGAGAATTTCAGCTTGTTGACACTTGTTCCACTTTTGCCTTGGTTTAATTTGTCCATATGATCAACACCATTGAAAACATCACTCTTTGGCTCCTTTGGAAATGTTGCATCCATCTCCTTAGCTTCACCTTGGCTCCCCTTGACTCCAACTGCATCCAACATGATCTAAAATCCTTCATTTATACTCAAAGATAATGAATTGTGCATAATGGATCAAATGAGCAAAATAAAGATCATTTTGAACAACATTGTGACACTTCATAAACAAAACAAGGTTAAATATGGGGTAAACATGGGGTTTAAATATGAACAATTATGCACTTATCAAGAATCTTTTGATATACTTGGATGGTGGAAGATCAACTCTGCTAGGTTTCCAGTTCTGTCTAAGCTTGCTAGGGATGTCCTAGCCATTCCAATCTCCACTGTAGCCTCAGAATCTGCCTTCAGTACTTCTGGAAGAGTATTGGATCCTTTTAGGAGTTCTTTAACTCCAAAAATTGTGGAAGCATTGGTGTGTACACAAGATTGGCTTAGAATGCAAAATACTCCTTTATGTATTGAGGAGAATCTGGAAGAGTTGGAGAGGTTTGAAAAAGGTATGACTTTTTAGTTTTAACTTTATAATCCTTTATACTTATATTTTAAATTGCTTAAATTGTTAATACACTTAACTTTTGTTGTTTATTTTGCAGAGTTAAGTGGTGATGGTGGAAGTGGGAGGTCTCTTGGTTCTACACTTGCTACAATTCCTGTAATGTTATTATTTACATTACTTGATTTACTTACTTGATTTTATTGCAATCTTTTACATTATTTGACTGTTTAACTAAATTGCAATCTAATCTCACTTGCTATTTTTTGAGCCCACTGTGTTTGACTCAATTACACTGGACATCTGTAAGTCTCAAACTCTGTAAGTATGAAGGCTTGGTAACTTGTACTAAGTTGCTGCCTCAAGTACCTTGGGCATTTGGTAATGTATGAACTATTTTATTCTCTGTTCACTTTAAGTTGGCAAGTTTGGCAATGATGAAGCTTCCACCTTTAATCTGAAAAGGAAAGGATTAAGTTGGCCAGTTGCTCTATACTTAAGGTATATTGAAGCAATAGGCCCTTAATCCAAATGATATGGAAAAAATGCTTACTGAGCCAAAATTTATATAATCCCT